AGTGACTGGGGTAGGTCTGGCAAGGTCAGACTCAGCAACAGGTACTGAGTCAGGGGCCTTCATCTTGCTGGGTCTTTTCTGCAGCCTGTCAAGGCTGCTAGAGCAGGGGACTGGGTGAGGGCCTGGTCCCTTAGAAGTGACAGAGAAAGGGAGACAGGGACAAAGTCACAGTGAAGAAGGAAAGGGATAACAGACACTATGAGACAGGACGAGGTACCAGAGACATGGAAGGATGAGAAAGGAGTCCTGTGTGGTTCGCAGTGTCTTTTCCCAGACTCGGGAGCTATGTGTGCATGGGCACCCTCCTCCCCCCCGCCCCCTGCGTGTGGGGGATGCCTCCTGAGAGTGCAGTTACAGTCTATCTGGGTAAAGGTTGGACAGGATACAAGTATAACTCAGTCGCTAGTAAATACCTGCAAGAAGCCAGGTTCAGCCATCGGGCCCTAGGAATGGCTGACAGGACCTGCCAGAAAAGATACCAAGCAGACACACACCGAAGCCTTGCAGAGCTTCCCACTTACATGTGACAAAGACCCACTGGGACTCTTCCACACGGGGACGTCAGGAAGGCACTCAGCAGAGACCTGGGTAGCGAAGAGCCAGCCTGCACAGACTAAGGGCAGACCCTCTGGGAAGAGAGAGGAACAGATACAAGATCCCTGTGCCAAGCAATGAGGCAGCTCATGGCTTAGAAAGGAGGTGAGGGGAAACTCGTGGGGTACGGTGAGGGCCAGCAGTAGACGTTAGATTGTGAAGGACTTGGTGTGGCTGGAGGAACAAAAATTGGGACTTTAATTTTTAAAACTACTTGTTATTATTTTATGTGTAAGAGTGTTTTGCGTTTCTGTATGTCTATGTACCTGGTTCTCATGGAGGCTTGAAACGGACATTTGATTCCCTGGAATTATAATTACTGACTGTTGTGAGCCACTATGTGGGTGCCAGGAATTAAACCCAGGTCCTCTGGGAGGGCAGCCAGTGCTCTTAACTGCTGAGCCATCTCTGCAGCCCTCAAGACTGGGGTTTTACTCTAGGTCTACTGAGAGTCGAACAGCAGCTGACAGGTTGGGAAGCAGTTTCCTGACTTCTGGGCTAGGGTCCGGGGCGGGGTCAGTAAGCTGTGAGCAGCGGGTGGCACACTCAAAAGCTTTCACTGTGGTTCTGGTAAAAGGTGCTGGTGGCATGGGCAAAGGTGAGGGCCGGGGAAGCAGATGGATGTGGCCTGCACTGTGGGGGTAGAGGTGCCAGGCGGGGGGCTGGGGATGGAAGGCAGGAGCCTAGTGTCATCTTCAGCCTGAGGATCAGAATGAATTATGGTGGCCTTTACTGGGAGGAAGAAGCAGAAGCCAATCTCTGATGAGCCATCCATCAGGTATGATATGTCTCAGGGTGTGTATGCATCTGTGTTCATCTATGCTAAAACCGGATCCCAGAGCAAACCTGTGACATCTGGGTCACTTCTGCTTGAATATGTGGGGGCTCCCACATCCGTCCTGGGACCAGGGTTCTATCTTGGCCCTTAACCCTCTTTCAGCCCCAAGGGTTGCCCCTGCCATATGGGGAGTCCCGGTGGCAAGCTGGGGTAATAGAAAGGCCCTTGAGCTTTGCCAACATCTGTGCACATTACCCCAGGCCCAGGAGGCTTTGGTAGCCCCACCCGGCAGCGGCAAGCAGGCTCCGGGGCAGCTGGTGGCGATTAGCAGCGTTGATTACCTCGTGGTGATGCCATCTGGGGCGAGGGCACTGAGCCCAGTCCCGTGGGAGGCCCTACTTGCTGATGTGTGGGGCTTTCTGGGGCTGAATGCATATAGATATGTCAGCATAGCTGCATACACATCGGAGTGTAAGTGTCGTAGTGCGTGCATCTGTGTGTGCCCAGATTCTGCAGGTATCTCTGCTTGCATAGTGGACACATCTGTGTTTTTACGCGTATGTCTGTGTGCACACATGTACACATGTCTATGTACATACATATGCCTGTATGTGCACATTCAAATCTATACAGAATTTGTTGTTAGTACTGGGGAGTGAGTCTAGTCTTGTGTGTGAAACTGCTCCTCCCCTGACCCAGCGTTCCCAGTTCTTTAAAAGCCTTGCTTTGAGACCAGGTCTGCCCTTGCACTTGGAATCCTTCTGCCTCACACTCCTTGGTAGCCGGGGTTACATGTGTACACTACCCCACTTGATGTCACATACATTCTCTTTGGATATATCCAGGAATCTAATTCTGTGGGGGGGGTCACATCCATTCTACAAAGAGGTGTGCTGTGTGTGTGCTCCTGTCTGTATGAATACGAATGCCTATAGAGACGTGTGGAGCGGGCACACACGGGGCCGTCTGCACACGTGTCAGAGTAAAGCAGGGACATGAGTGCATCTCAGTGTGAGGATGGGCCCAGGCAGAGGGTGTTCCCTTGGCTTGGTTGCTCTTATGGACACCCCTGGTGTGCTATATGACAGTCTTTGCGCATCACTTTCTCAGGTCCCTGCATCTTCAACTCTGAGAGCTCTGTGATGGAGCATGAATGAGTGGGTTTGGCCAGAATGGCACAGGGTGTGATCCCTCCTGCTGTTTAGGCTTGCTGGCCAGCCGTGGTCTCTCCACTCTGCCACAAATGGGTTATGTGATGCTAGGCAACTCGTGTTGCTGTTGTACCCTGGGTTTCCCTTCAGCAAGATGAGGTTAGGTGTAGAACACTGCCCCCTCCGTTGCTGTGAGGGTTCTCGTGATAGAGCCTGACCTACAGCATGCCTTCCTTTTCCTGCTTTCCCCAGAGCTGGGCAGCACTCCATTAGCAATGACTACGCCTGCCCACCCCTCCTGACAGAGCCTCTGAAAACCCCACCTCCTGCACTTCCTGCCTGCTGAGCTCAGCGCTTCCCAGGCCCCACCACTGCCACCACACATCTGGGCCCGGGCTCAGGGCAGGGACCACAATGGGGCGCCTCCATGGCGTAGCAGCAGACTGAGGGTTTCCACTGACTCAGCACCTCCAGGGATGGAAGTGGGGAATCCCAGGGCTGTCGTGGCTCTGCCTGGGTTAAGATGGGGTCACAGGTCTACAGCTATACCACCGACCCCAAAGGGAAGCCCATCACCACAGACTGAGGATCTTTGGCTGCTGACTCCTTAACCCCAATATCCACGGTTCTACTCACAGGTCCCCTCAACCCATTTTTCCATGGTACCCGGACTTAGTGCTGAGAAGTATGTTTGCCACCTCCATGGAGAGACAGACAAGCCTCTTCCTCCTCTGAACAATCTATTATTCACCCAACCTCAATTGTTTTTGTTTCTTTAGACTCTGGATAGAAAGCAAACCTCCCCATCACTTAATGCCCACCCCCAGCCCCCCCTGCTTACCCTGTCCTTGGCCAAGGATCCCAATAATGAAAATAGCAGCAAGTATCTCCCCTCTTATGTGCCAGACCATGGCTAAGCATTCTCACAGATATTAATGAGTTTCCTTTAACAAAGCCACCCCAAGCAGATGCTGTCATCTCATCTCAAAGATGTGCAAATGGGACTAGAGATAAAAGTAAATTTGAACCAGGCGTGCTGTGCCCAACTACTCAGGTGGCCGAGGCAGGAGGGTTGAAAAGACCTGGCCTGGTTGGGTGTGGAGGAGCACACCTTAGTCCCAGCACTCTGCAAGCTGAGGCAATGGGGACCTCTGTGAGTTCAAGGACAGCCTGGTCTACAAAGGGCGTGCTAAGACAGCTAGGGATATACAGTGAGAACCTATCTTAAAAAGAAAGAGAGAGAAAGAACGAAAGAAAGAAGAAAGAAAGAAAGAAAGGAAAGATGGGAGGGAGGCAGGGAGAGAGGGAAGGAAAAGAAAGTTCTAGGTCTTCTTCTACTATAGAGCAGTTCAAGGTTAGCCTGAGTGACTTTGTGAGTCCTTGTCTTAAGAAACAAGGCTGGTGGGGAAGGGCAGTTACAGAGGTGGCTCAGTCAGTAAAGTGCTTGCTCTACAGGCATGAGGACCAGAGTTTGATTCCCCAACTGTCACAGCAGTGTTCACGTGCAATTCAATCTCTGGGGAGGTGGCGGCAGGTGGATCTGGACAGTTCCTGGGCCAACTAATGTCGCTGAACCAATGAATTCCAGGTTCAGTGGGAAATCCCGTCTCAAAAAATAAGGGAGAGAGGGCTTGAGGAAGACACCCTGGCCTCACATGCATGTGCATGCATACATGTGTGCACACCTGCACAGATTTATGCAGAACACACACACTACGAAGGCTGGAGGTGTAGCTCAGTGGTGGAGCATTAACCCTGAGTGTGCAAACTCTAGGTTCAACCTCCAGTTAAAAAAAAAACCGTTCAGGGGACATGGAGATGGCTCAGTCGGTAAAGGTGCTTGTCACCAAACCTGACAGTCTTAGTCTGAGCCCCAGAACCCGCATTGTGGAAGGAGATAACTGACTCTACAAATTGTCCTCTGACTTCCACACATGCAACAAGGCATTTACGACTTCGTCTGTGCACATGTTCCCGCGCATACACATACTAAAGAAATTAAGCTTTTACAAAGCTGGAGCAGGGAGCTGGGCCTTTCCAATCTGGTGGAGTCCAAGAGGAAAAAGAGAACTCACTGATTATGCTTCTGTAGAAACGAGGGCAGAGCAGAAGGAGTTAATTTAGCTCAGGGTTGGGGGGGGGGGTTTGCTCTGTCCCTCCTCCCAGTGCAGACAGAGGCACTACATCCTAGGAATGCTAGGCCCAGGCACTGGAAAAAGCTGACCACTGAGGCTTGGTCAGCAGCCACGTCGCGAGTTCCATGGCTATGGAGGAGGGTCCCTAGCCCTCTCCAGCTTTCTGAGGTCCCAGCCAAGGAAAAGGAAAGGGGGGCACAAAGGAGGTCCCTTAAACCCCAGGCCTGGCTCATGGGAACGCCTGGCTTGGCCTCCCTCCCGCCAGCCTGCCGCAGGCGCCCCCTTCCAGGGCAGCTCTGGGCACGCAGGGTCCCGCCTTGCTCTGCTCGCCTGCGGGCTCACCTGGCTGGTGAAGCGGGACGGGTGTGCCCCGGCGCAGGGCCAGGCCAGGAGCCCGGCAGTGCAGCTCAGCATCCAGCGCCTCCGCAGCCGCCGAGCCCTCACGGCCTCCCTCCTCCTCCAGCCTGGCAGGCCTGCCCAGCTGTGTTCCATTAGCCTCTTGGCAAAGCCCCAGCCCCCCAAGAACCGCCCTCTTCCCCCTCCAGGAGCGGCCGGCAGTCGTGCGCTGCGCGGCACTCAACCGAGAGAGCTCGGGACTCGGAGAAGCTGGGGGCAGCGCAGACCGGCAGGGAGAGATCGAGGATCCCCCTGTGGGCCGGTGGAATCCCGGCCCTGCTTCCCATAGCTGGCGGCCTTGGGGCCGCCGGGATTGCTCAGTGAGGGGCTTGCGGGCCATTGGTAAGTGGGCCAGGACTGGGTTGCTTCTCGCTCTGGGCTGAGAAGGTATTTTCTGCCACTGTGTGACCTGGGGCAAGTGGCATCCCCTCTCTGAGGGCCTCCGTGTTCTCTGTGGCAGGGTGGCCTGGAAACTCCATGCTGGTCCTGCTGTCGCCTCAAATCTGTGCCTGTGTTGTAGGGGGCGGGGTGTTCTTGGAAGCATCTCTCTAGCTATCTCTACAGCCCTCCACTTAGACTGAGACCTGGGAATGGAAGCCAGAAGCGAACATGACGAGCACATCTACGCTCACGCCTCCTCATGCACCCACATGCTGCTCACAGCCCGCTCTCTATGCTTCCAGAAACTGTCAGGAAGGGGAAGGCCAGGGTTTGAGCGGGAGAGAGGCACACCTCTAGGATGGGAGATGATTAGGATGGGGGGCACAGTTCCATCCCAGGGAGAAGGGAGGAAGAGTTGAGCCTACCTATATGTTGGGGGAAGGGGTCCTTTCTGTTGTCACTCTGTATCCAGCAGCAAGACAGATAAGTTAGGATTGCACTGGACCAAGTTGGACTTGCCTAAGAAAGTACAAACAGGAAGGCCCCCCGGGAGTGGGGCTCATGGGCTGGCTCTGGACAGGAGTGTGTATGTAAACACTGGGCTTATCAGTTCTCATGTCTGTTAGCATGCCTGCATGCAGCTAGGTTTGCTTGCATAGTCCTGGTACCCATGTGCCTGTATGTCTATGTGTATTGTACTGACACACATGGCTTTGCGTGCTCATGATCTGCCTGTCCTGGAAGAGGCCAGATGATATATGGCTCTGCTGGCCACTTGCTGAGCCTGCATTGATTTATCTGGGCCCATCCATCAGGGTTTAATAAAACCAAAAGACGAGCATCCATCAGCCTAGGAGGTTGGCAACAAGATCCTGGGCCCTGGTGACCTGCTCTCCCGCCCTTTGTCCCCACAAGGGAAAGCTTTCTTGGCCTATCCATAGCCCTGTGGTCCCTGCCAAGAGACTCAGTTCAGTCTTCAGCCTCTGACCTCATGGGTGCCTGGCAGCGCTACCTGTGCTCAGCTGAGCACGACTCTCCAGGTACTGGGCTACTGTGTGCAGCACAGAACACAGCTGTTACAGCTCTGGGATTCATCCGAGCATTTTGATAAATTACATCTGCTCAAGGCCCCCCACTCTGTGGTCTTTTAGGATCCTCTAGACCCCTTCTAAATCCTGCCACAGCCAGAGCTGCCTGGGCCCTGTTTCGGTGCTTCAGGCAGCCTTCTGCTCTGGCTGGTGGGTGTCTGGGCCATACCGGTGGTTAAATATTTGTATTATCACCTCTGCCCAGATTCTCACCCCAGACCTGTGTGGGGCCCTTGTGAGAGGGACTGGCGCCAAGCCCTGACCACTGCAGCCTCTGGTGCATGGGGCCCGCAGACTGCTATACTTACCCACACATGCAGCTGTCCCTTGGGTACCCTGAAGCCCACCTTCTGTGTTTTTGGTTGTCAGGTGCCAAGGCTGCAGCTCTGGACCAGGATGTTGGCATCCTGGGCCCCTGGCTTGTGGCTGCTCGGGCTCTGGGCCACCTTCAGCCATGGAACAAATATAGGTGAGCTGACACAGACCTGCATCTGGCTCCCCTGGGTTGCTGGGGTCTATGTACAAATGTGGGCATTTATGGGCAAGTGTAAGGGCTGAGCTCAGGTTAGCATCTGAGGTGTTTGCATACCTGAGCCTGTGTGAGTGGGCTGGAGTGTGTGTGTGTGTGTGTGTGTGTGTGTGTGTGTGTGTATCTTGTCTCCAAGTATCTCTGGGTTTACAACTTGAAAAGCACAGTACATTTGTATGTACTCCTGGGTCTCTGCGGGAGAAGAACAGCTCCCTCCCCCCCTCCCAGCACATCCTTGCACTCCTTGCTGGCTGGCTGGGAAGGAGCAGACAGCACACTCTCCCTACAAAAGGCAACACTTTCTGGAAGTCCCTCTGCTCCTTCTCATGACAATGGCTCCATCCTCCAGCCACAGGCTCCTCCTTTGCACCAGCCTTGGTCTCTGATGACTGCCCACCCCATGGTCCAGGCTCTGGACAGGGAGAGGGTACAAGTTTCCAGGGCCCAAAGCCAAGGGAAGTTGACCAGGCAATCAATCTGCCTGGCTTTGCTGGGTGCACTCTGGGCCTAGTAGTTGCACTACCTAGCCAGGATGGAGCCTTACTCTTAAGCCCAAGTCCAAACATTCAGGGTGGGTGGGACTGCCAGTGTGTCTGGTGTGTGTGTGTGTGTGTGTGTGTGTGTGTGTGTGTGTGTGTGTGTGTGTGTACGTACAGGTACACGTGTGTGTTTCCGCATGTGTATAGGAGAGTTTTGCTCTCCTCTCCCTCACTGGGTCCCCTAGAGGGGCTGGGGCAGAGGATTTCAACATCTGTAAGGAATCTGGGCCTGTTGCCAAGGGTGAGTCACCCAGTGCCGAGGCAATGCTGAAGACAGTGATGGTCTTTCCGGCCAGACTTGGGGTGGAGACTCCAGTGGGTCACTGTGCCCAGGGACACAGGGCTCTGTCTTTCAACTAGGCTGGACAGGGAGTTGGCTATCTTCTGGAGGTGGCTTGACTGACTTGGCCTAGCCTTCCCATCAGCTTTGCTGGGAAGGCCCATTGATCTCAACCCCTGTCTCTCTGATGTAGCACTCCATCAACTCTTCTGGTCTCAGGAGGGGAAGGAATCTCAGCCCCAGGGAGAAGGACGTTCATAGTCTCCAGCCTGTCCCTTTGGGGCTTCAGAGACTTGTGTTCTTGTTCAGAATCTTATGCCTCTTTCATATGCCTTGTCTGGAGCCTAAGGCCTTGATGGTACCTGGAGCCTGTGGTCCCCCAGCCTCTTGGTCTCTTTTTGTTGATTCGCTAGTTGGGTATGCAGGGGAAAAGTCATTCTGGTAGCTCAAACTTGTGTTTGCATTTTCTACTTTGAATATGGGAAGTAGATTGCCACTCATTGCCTAGGACCTGTGTGCCAGTGCACGTGGCGGCCCTGGGGACATGGTTATGCATAGCTCATGCATGTATAGTCATGTGCACACAGTTGCACAGAACACCAAGTGTGCATGAAGACAATACGTTCTAATCCCTGCAGCGTTGCTCTGCCCCCACCTAGGTGGAGCACATGGGGAACATGTACGTATCCCTGGCTCCCCACTGTCTGGGCCCTGAACCATCCAGGGCTTCTTTCAATCCTCACTGGCTTGGCTCCAGCCGGGGGTATTGGAAGGCTGGGGTCCCAGGGCTTTGGTCCTATTCTGCTGTTGACTCATTCGATGGCTTTTGAGCGGACCTCAGTCTTCCCAGCTATGTGTTGGGCTCTTCCTGCACAGCCAGGATCAGACAGCGAAGTGAGAGCACAGCCTCGAGGCAGACTAGGTTAAAGGTCCTGAAGAAAGACTATGGACTTGTCCCCTCCTGAGATCCCCAGGATTCGCCCCCCCCCTGGGCTGAGAGGAGCTACCCTCCTGAGTCCCTAATGCTCCAGGCCAACTCTCTCCCAGGTGAGCGGTGCCCAGCTTCGCAGCAAGAAGGACTCAAGCTAGAGCACAGTAGTGATCTATCAACCAATGTGACTGGTGAGTACAGTCTCACCCATCCCCTGCCCCCTTCCTGGAAGAGCCTGCACTTCTCACCTGCCCTTCTTCTGCTGTCCAAAGGCTTCAACCTAATCCGCCGACTGAACCTCATGAAGACATCTGCCATCAAGAAGATCCGCAACCCCAAGGGGCCACTCATCTTGCGGCTGGGGGCTGCCCCGCTGACCCAACCCACTCGGTAAAGGACTCTGGGTGGCCACTGGAAGGCCACATCCTTGCAACTCTGATTGTGATGCCCAAGCTCAGGGCCTCTCTGGAGACTGTGTTGAACATTCCCCTGCCTGAAGTCTACCCACTGTCTGCCCCCTGGGCTTTCAGGGTGGGTTGTGTGTGCATGGGGCCTGGCAACCCAGCCTGGCTCTCACTGGCAATGGCAAGACCAGGTTTATATCCCATGGTTGACATGAGAGCCCTAGGGTAGTTTCAGGAACCTGTGTCTATGTGAGTATGGCCTTGTGTAAAGCCCAACTCCCAGTAGCCCTTGAATAGTTTGGCTCCTGCTGACCAGTGTCTCCTTTCCTGGCTGCTGTGTTTATGCAGAACCTGCTGTTTTTGTTTTTGTTTTGTTCTCAGCATCTTTCCTTCCACCCCAGGCCCATACACTATGCTGGTTTCCTTGGGAGTCCCCCCCCTTTCCAAAGTTGGAATACAATATTTATTTATTAAGTGTATGGGTTTTATAACTGCATTTATGGTCTCCATATGCATGCAGTGCCTAAAGAGGCCAGAAGGGGGCATTAGATTCCCCTGAGACTAGAGTTACAGATGGTTGTGAGATACTTTACGGGTGCTGGGAATCAAACCCTGGTCTTCCGGAAGAGCAGCCAGTGCTTTTAACCACTGAGCCATCTCTCTAGTCCCCTCTAGAAACTGAGAAGGTTTCAAGGGTTCTCTGTTAATGTTCCTCTGCTCCATCAGGCCCCATGAGACTTCACAGGAACAAGCTCTTTGAGATTCCCACCACTGGCTTCCCCAGCAGCCAGTCAGCCCTTAGCACCCAGAAGGTGCTCAGTGAATGCGTCAGGATGAATGTGTGCATGGTTTGGAAGTGTGTGCTCCCTCGTCTCAGGCGGGCTCATCACCGGAA